GGGCGCGCGGTGGGGGCTGTGGGCGCGGGGCGGCCGCGGGGGCCCCGCCAGCCTGGCACTAATGTTTCCCTTTGTGTCTCCCTCACTCCGTCCTCTCCCCCGGCGCGCCGGCCCCTCCGACCTCGCAGGAAGGCCTGGACGACGGCCCCGACTTCCTCTCAGACGAGGACCGCGGTGTAAGTTCAGCCTCCTACTCGCTCGCGGGACCCTCCCTCCCCCGCCTTGGCCCTGGGGTGTGGTGCGCGTCAGGGTCCTGGCCGCGCGGAACCCCTTCCCCGCCGGCCTCCTTTCTATCTCCTCGCCGCCCCGCGCCCCGCCCTTCTGCAGCCCTCCCTCCCTCAGGGACGCTCGGTTCTGATTTCTCCGGGACCCGCAGCCACTTCCCTGTTCCCCGCACCAGCTCGGACCCTGCGGCGGACCTCCTTCCCCTCCCGGGTCGGAGTGTGGAGGCCGGAGCCGGACTACCTCCCCTGGCCACTTTGGGGGCTATGAAAACCCGTTCTCAGACTTTCCTGGCGGAACCCTCACTTTTCCCTTGCGGACCTCTCAGACCCGCTCCCGCCCACCCTTCTTTCTCTCTAAAACAGAGAATAGTACAGGCTTGTTCTAAATTATTCATTGCGAGGGATGTTACAGTCACCGAATCTTAACTCGTCTCCAGGGTCCTACCAGATTTTGCAAAGTGCCCACGGAACCTTTACTTTTCTTTAATGCCCAAAAGAATACATTACCTTGGTGTTTTGAAGAGAATTGCATTCCACTTCAGAAAGGACCTTTTAGGGCCCCGATTTCTCCCACTCTCTCCCCCCATTTGCCTTGGCTGAAGGGCAGTAATCTTTATAGTGCCTTGTACGAGTGAGCACTTAAAAAATATTGATATATGATGATTGCTGCTCAGCAAGGTTCCATGGTTCACTCACATTTAACAGCCTGCACTTTAGTTTTTCATTTTGCTTTTACTCATCTTAGGTAATGTGAGAGACATGTTAGTCGATTTTTGGCAGGCGGTAAAATAGTCTTTTAGGATATTTTTTTAATGATACGTAGTATTCGCTGATGACCTTTATAAAGCTTTTAAATAAGACAGATGCAGGAGGTGCTGCGTGCTTTATTTGATAAATGACGAATTAATAAATTACTCAGTTTACACAAAAGCTTTATTTATTTATTTATTTTAATCCTCACCCTAGGATATTTTTTCCTTTGCTTTTTGGAAATCAACTGCAGTCTGTCAGTCTGCCACTCTAACCCACTGAGCCAAACCTGCTAAGGCCAAAAGTGCCATTTAAAACTTTTAGTGCCAAAAACATCATACAGTATTTCTAGTTATTTCAAAAAATTGTCGTTTCTGATTAATTTTAAAATGTGTGTGTGTAAATATGTATATGTATCTTCTGGGATAAGACTGGAAGTTAGATGACCACTTATAAATTACATTTTGGATTTTTTAAAATATGCTTTTATTGATTTTAGAGAGAGGAAGGGAGAGGTAGAGAGAAAAAGAAACATCAGCCTTGATCAGCTGCCTCCTGCACGCCCCCTGCTGAGGATCCAGCATGTGCCCTGACTGGAAATCAACCCCAGTGTCTCGGTGCATGGATGGAGGCTCAACCATTGAGCAGCAATATTTTGGATTTTAAATAATTCATTTCACTGAAACCAGAGTTCAGTGAAATGAATTATTATAGCACAAACTGAGTTTTCTAAATATAAAGCACATGGCCTTTTCTTTATTTAGATAACAACTTTGTCTTATTTTTGTGGTCTACCGGGAAAAACAAACAGGATTTGCTTCCTTGTAAAATCTGACTAATGTTCAGTACAAGTTTTAATTTTTTTAATATTTATGTTGATGTAGAGTATTTTCTAGTGACTATTTGTGTTCCTAACTTTATGCCTTTGGTAAGATTTGCGTATGGAACTGGAACCACTTAAGTAATGTGTTCAAAACTTTTTCTTGTATTATAAAATTAAAGGGACAGGAGGACAAAGAGCATGCCTGACCAGGAGGTTCTTATAGAATCTCGTAGGTGAAAATTTTAATATGAAAATGGGAAAACATTACCGTGAATTAGAATTTAGAATGCCGTGATGAATATAGATACATGTCCAGTTTTTCCTTACTTTTGTCCCATGGAACTGGGTGAATCATAATAATTATAGCTGCATACTGTCTAAGCATTGTTTCATTATATTGTCTCATCATCCTGGTGAAGCTTTTAGCATTCACCTTTTACAGATGAGAAATCTGAACCTTAGAGAAAGTAAGTAGTCTCAGGTCACATGGCCAGTGTAGGAGTTGGAGAGGTGGACTTCAAACCCACGTTTCTGACATCAGAGCCAGTACATGTATTTCTCAAAGTGGCCTTGAAACATTTGTATCAGAATCACCTGGGGTGTTTGAAAAACAAGTTTCTGGGTCTGTGCCCTCATAAGTAAATCAGTCTCTTGAGGTGGGGAGGACAAAAAACTGCTTTTTAAACAAGAACCCAAGAGGATTCTGTTGTGCACTGAAGTTTGGTTGTAGCTGCACAAGGTTATCCTGCTATTTCCTCATTTTAGGAATAGAACTATCTGGCCTTTTAAATTTCCTTGTATTGTGCTTGTTCTGTTAGAAATAGATTGCCATAATCAGAACTTTTAGACATTGCACTTATAGTTTAGACTACCATGTTCAGCCTTTTAATAAAGAGTCTTGATAGAGAAAAAGCACGAAGTGCATATTTGATAGGAATTGCAGAGGGGACATCATAGATTGAAAAATAGTGTAAGCATTTCATACAGTAAGCAAAATTAAAGTGAATATATTTCTGAGCAGCCTTAAATTTTCATCATGATATATGAGATAGAAAAGAATATCTTACAGCCTTAAGAAAATATTGTTTTGTGAGAAACTCAAAAAGCAGATTTGAAGAATACACAATACTAAAAATTATTGGCCACTTTAATCTCTTCAGCCACACCTCTACATAATAGGGGATTTTCCCCCCACAAATGAAGAACAGTAACATTATTTAGTAAACAAATGAGCCCTTTGAACTGGACACATTTGCTCTGATGTGCTTGTTTAATAAGAGCAATGGATACCAGCATGATGACAGTTCTCTTAGCATTTGATTTGAATTTAAATAATATGTTTATTGTTTCAAAATTACTTCAGGTGGAGTAGCTACACCTCTCCAAGACTCTACTAGCCTTGTTCCTCCCTCTTTGTCCCTTATCTTCATAATGTCATTTTCCAGTCATGCAGGCAAGAAACCTCTGAATCATATCCTCCATCCTCATATCAAAACAGTCACTGAGGCAAGTTAATTTCACCTTGGAAATGTTGTGTGTCCTATCTTTTATTTGCATGGCCCCAGTTAAGGTCCCTGCTATTTCTTGCCTGGATTGTAGCACTCCCTGTCATTGGTCTGTCTCCAGTCTTACTACTTTACAATCCAGCCTTCACATTATTTCTAGTTACCTAACTAAAATAATTAAATCATGTAGCACCACTAGCCAAAAAGACTTAACTTGTACCCAGTTCTTTTTATTTATTTTGTTTTTTTATATCTTTATTGATTTCAGAGAGAGGAAAGGAGAGGGAGAGAGGGATACAGAAACATCAATGATGAGAGAGGCATTGATCTGCTGCAGCCCGCAACCCGGGCATGTGCCCTGACCGGGAATCGAACCCCGATCGCCTGGATCCCAGGTCGACGCTCAACCGCTGAGCCACGCCCGGCGGGGCCCCAGTTCTTTTTGCAACAAGGTCTAAATTCCTTAGGCTAGCATTAAGCACCATTCATAACCCGTTCAGGCTGGCTTCATTTCTCAGTATGTTCCCCAGACACACTTTGGGTGTACTCTCATCTACTTGTCACTGCCCAGGCACCTCTATCGGGACTTTATTTTTTATTTTTGTCAACACATTTTTAAATTTGTTTTTTATTTATTGATTTTATTTTAATTTTTTATTTGTTTTAGAGAGAGGAAGAGAGAGAGAAACATTGATTTTTGTGGTTCCACTTATTTATGCATTCATTGGTTGATTCTTATATTTGCCCTGACCTGGGATTGAACCCACAACCTCGGTGTATCAGCAACACTATAACCAACTAAGCTACAGGGCCTGGGCTGTCTACACTTTAATGCCTGCTTTATGCATGCATTTCAGTGTTGTGGAGTGCTTTATTTTTTCCATACCCTTGTTTTTTTGAGGCGAATGTTGTGTGCGGGGTTTTTTTTCACTTGAAATTTGACTTATCTTTCAAGACTTGGCCCAGATGTTCGCATTTTTTTGGTACCTGCACAGCATTTAGCTTGAACATATTTCCACAGTTACTTATAGCTATTTTAGATAAAAATGTGGCGTAGATTATGTTGGCAGAGGATAAGAAGATGAATGTTGGCAGAGGAAAAAGAAAGTTTTTGCCCTGAGACCATCACAGTGTAATGAGGGACTTATGATAAAGTGCAAAGAAGAGAGTGCTTAACTTTGTTGGAGGGGGAATAGTGAAGACCTAATAACTACACACTATATAACACTGATTGCATGCCAAAGGCTCTCCATATATTGACTCAATTCTCATGCCTGTGAAGTAGCTGCTACTATTATTCCTACTTTGGAAAGGAAAACGGAGGTTCACAGAGATTAGCTTGCCAAAGGTCACATAGCCAGTATGAACTGGATTCAAACTCATGCAGTCCTGGGTTCTTAATCACTATGCCATCATCTAAAGGAGCTAATCCTTAATGTTGATCAGGAATTTTGTGGGAATGCTTGATAGCATATGTAGATAATTTGATCCCACCTGGAGCACTTGTTCTTACCAGAAGCAGGGTAGATACGGATACTATAGAGTGTAAAGTGCATAATGATAAAGGCTTTCAGCAGTGGGAAGTCCTGAAGGATTTTAACCTGGGAAACACCTATGCTCAGGTGACATAAGCATTGTAAATTACTCTGATGTTGGAGGGCAGATTCATTCTTTCAGAAGGCAGAGAAACTAGTCAGTAGATTATTGCAGTAGTCCAAATGCGTTGGAACTAAGGCAGTGGAAGAGGGGATGGAGGGGACATAGCAAAGAGATATTTAGGAGATAGAATTGACAAGGCATCGTGACTAAATAAATACGTGGGCTGGGCAGAGAAGGAGAAAGTGAAGAATATAGAAGAGCAGAGTTAGAAGGTA